ACATTTTAAATACCTAAATTACTCATTTAATAAACTTTGGCTTTTAAGAATTTTTACTTCAAAATATTTCTTTAATGTTTGTAATTTCAATTTATCCTTATTCTAGATCAAATAGGTGTCATAGCCTCGCATTTGGTGCATGCCTGTAATCCCAGTACTCAAAAGGCTGAGGCAAAAAGACCATCTGAGTTTGAGGCCAGCCTGGCCTGCACAGTGGGTTTAAGACCTGCTTAAACTACACATTGAGATCCGATCTCAATAAATAAATAAATACAAAATACCTGTCATTATGGACCTTTTTACATAGTTTTTTTCAATGTCCCCATTCCTAGTGATACATCTCATAATGAATTACTTACGATTACACAATCAAGAAAACAAAATATCTACTTCCTTTCTTGTTCTGTCTCTCTTTCCATCTCAATTTTTGCCTCTAACAAATTGTCACTAAAAGATTAGCAGAACAAAATGGAGATGCAATTCTGAATTTATACTGAAACATACCAGGATTTCAATTTGTTGGAAATATAATATTATTTTTAATGAAACAAATTTTATTTAAGAAACTTTACATGCAATTTCTTCAATATTCATTAAGGTCAACTTAATGAGGTTCTTTGTCATCCAGATAATCCCTTATAAATGCACTTAATCCAGTTTTCTCATCTGTCCATGATTTCCTTTGATCTCCACCTGAATTAGAGACAAACAATGATAACTTCAAAACTTCTGGAATCTTAGGTCCAAATTTCTTCCAGCAATTTACTTTAAGAGTATTGAAGTCAGATAATAGAATGTATTGATATTTTGGCACACAATTAAAATTCTATATCATTCCTCAATCTTGCATTTGTAATATTCAGTCAACTTTTCATTACTCTTGAGAAAAATGTTACAGACTAAATTGTCATTGCTGAAGTACATTTACTGGGAGGGAAACACTTACTGTGTCTCACTTTAGCCACATTTATCAATCATGGACACCCACCGCTCGTGACCATTCTTATCTAGGGTGAGACTCTTGAATTCATATAAGGACTGCAAAAACAGTTTCTTACCCTGTTAAAATACTAAGGTTTAGAGAGTAAAATTGTTTTACTTATTTTTCTCATGGCTGAGACATAATACATGACATCCACAAGGTAGAGGAGAAAATTTATTTTGGCC